CCGTTACAGTATGCCAGTACCCATTTCCGTGTCAGTTAGTCGATGATGAAGATGTTGACGAAGACGAAGAGGAAGCCTGTCTACACGATGATAATGCCTTTGAGTATGAAGGTCCACCCGATGTTGAAGAGGCCCGGGGTCAAGAGCTGGAAGAGGTGGAAAGTGATCCATCTGACAGCGCGGACGAGTACCACCCCAGCGACTTCAACAGCGCGTCGGATGACTCCGATGTTGACTACGATCCCAACGAACACTAAGCGTCATCACTAAGTCCAGTTAAGGAGAATAGCATAACAACACATTACGCTACTGAAATGTTACCGTTACACACTAAAGACCTTTTGCTGACGTAGAGTACAGATGCGGGCGACAGTACACTTGCGGGCAATATATCAGTCAGGCGTACCATTACGGACGGCAGTAAATTTGCGGACGACCAAATATACAGTCCAATCATACAGTACCCGTACAATTGCGGGCGACAGTACAACTGTGGACGACGAAACATTAAGTATTAAGTACAGAAGAGGACGATAGTACAAAAGCACACGACGGTACGATTGCGGACGACACTAGTACATTTGCGGACGACACTAGTACATTTGCGGGCGACAGTACGCTTGCGGACGACTGTTCGTTTGCGGACGGCAAGAGTAGTTAATCATTCACCGTTTTTTACGCGCACGAATTGCAGCAAGAATGTTGTTTACAGTCATGTCGCCGTTTACACAGCATGAAAACTCAGCTTCGAAGCGGTCTAAGTCGTCTTGAAACTCACCACGCACGAACTCTGCAATGATTTTCATCCTCGACAATCGGGATCGGTGTGCCTTGCGTTCGTGTGACAGCATGTCAACACCCGCACGATACTGGTGGCACGCCGGATTCGCTACCCAATACTGCGTGACGTAGTCGCGCCAGGACTTTGCCCCGTGAAGTTCAGACATTAACAAAGAGGTATCCGACACCGGGTCCGCATTGCCTACACCATTCCTTTTAACATCTTCGATAGTCTGTGATGTAGTTACAACACCTTTAATCATATCGCGCAATCCCTCGAGAAGGTCCTGCTTCAGCCGATCGACAGCTGAAGCGGGCATCGCTGTGCAGCTATCTTCAGTCTCCACTGGCGCTCCCAGCAGTTCTTCGTCATCATATCGCGGGCAAATGTAATCTGTATCCCTCACACATTCAAGTGATGCACTTGTGTGCATGATGGCATCCGGTGCTAGCGAGTCCCCAAGTAAACTCTCTTCACGATCGAGCACGTCATCCAGGAGATACCGCGTCACCGTTTCTGCTTTTTCACTTGGCGCCCAGCCGGCCCACCACTTCACTAGCTTGAGTGACCACCTCCGCTTCTCAGGAGCGAACATGAACCGGTACTGGGCAATGAGACGTGAACCAAATGTCGTCTCCCAGCACATTCTTGCTAGTGCCAGCAGCTTCGGCAATTATATTTAGCACTTGGGTGAAGCTACTGTCCGACATGGGAGAACCCCACTTGATGCCTACGTTAGCGAAAGCTCGTGCATCAGTAGTAGTGTCATCGCCGCGAGCGCGCTTTCTCGAATCACGGGAAACCTTGGTCAGCGATGGGAACGCATAATCATCTTCACTCCAGTTGTGATGCAGTTTAGTCCGTGCATATTCAAACCAGCGGCTCAAGTGTGTTAATGCTTCAGCAGCTCGTTCTTCCTTGGGTAGCAGGTGAAGCGAGTAGGTGCGACTGGCGAGCGGGTCATGGTCCGTTTTTCGATCGCGAATAGTGAAGCAACCAAACCGAATCATTAATCCGTTCTTGCGTGATTTACGTTGAAGTCCAAGCTGAATATCGCGCCGTTTCATCAGAAGAACTTCATTAATGCGGCACATTCCATAGAAGCACACACAGCTGAAAACCACAACCGCATTGTTTCGTTGCACATAGAATTGAACTCAAGAAAGGCGATGACACGAGTAAGCATCTGCAGTGACATTGGTGATGCTCTTTTAGGCGTCCTTTCACGCTTCTTGGACTTGTTGAGATCAGCCAGAATCTGAGTGATAGCTGACGGTCGTGCCGGGTTTCCACGGAGAACAAGTGTTCCATCTGGAGCTGTGTCCACAACCCAACGATCATGAGGGTGTCCTCCGACCAACATCTCAGGCTTTTTGTAGTGCCAGTTAAGCGCAGCGCGAAGCTTCTCTGCAGGCCATTGACTTGTGTTGGACGTTGTCAGATGGTTGATGTAGGCAGCCATAACACCAGGCAACTCAGGGAATCGTTTGAGAGTCGGGTTGGGATACCCTTCGGTGCGGCAGAAGTCCGCAAAGCGCCGTAGACTACCGCTGTAGTCGGTTCGCGTACGAGGCTCTAGACGCTGGTCAGCATACTTGGAAGCGGCGATTGCTGCGCTGTAGAGGCGGCTTGTTTGGGGAAGGTCCATCGCGCTTTGCCAGAGATAATGAAAACGTGAAGTGAAGAGGTCTTAAAGGATGGCCAATGATCTTATAATGGGGTCGTCCGCAAGTGTATTTTGTACCCTGTCGTCCGCAAGTGTATTATGTTCGGTGTACTATAATGCAGTGCTGCTAAAAACTATAGCCGCATTCATTTTTTTGACGCAACGCAAGCAATACTTGATCCCAGCGGATGACGCTTGGTCTAAAGTCTATAATTACGACTACAAATAGATAAAATCAGAGCGTTTTGTGGTTGAAGTGTTATTGAAAACACAATAAAAAAATTTAAGTTGGGGAAGTGTTCTAAATTATAGACGCACTTTTTAAAAAACCAGATAGCACTTGCAAAAATCGTTTTTATTGGCTAAAAATTGTTTAGGGTGATTACAGCCACAACCGCCTGCACGATAGTGAACGCGCCACCTCGAAACAAGCCCGAACGATGCCTCGAGGAGCCAAACTCACTGCCGACGAGATCGGCCAAGCAAAAGCGCTGCATGCAGAGCATAGGAGCTTCCGCTACATCGCTAGGTACCTTGTACCGGATTCGACGAATAAAACGCAACTTTGTAAAATGTTACCTCCAAGTAAATTTGTAAAAAGGTAAAAAGTCGTAAATATTTTAACGTAGATCGGATGCCACAAAACCAACCAGCGCCATCCATCTTAATTTCCCGCGCATTTTGGATTTGAGCGTCTTAATGCGAACCAAAGCCCAGTGCACCAACCAAGAACGGCGAGAGGTAAGCAAGAGTCATTCCGCAGTAGATGAAAATGTATTTTTAGTTTCCAATATGTGCATTTATAGGCTGTGCTGGAAGTCCGAGCTGCGGGTGAAGCCACAGAGGCGTTGGCTGCCAAGTACGGTGTTCACCGTGTGACATTGTGGCGCTGGGCCAAGGAGGAGGGTCGAATTAAAGACGCTCAAGGCGTAAACAGAAAGAAAAAGAAGATAAGCAAGGTCAAGAGGGGTGTGAAATTACGATTTCCCGGACTAGAATCTCGGTATATGTTTTATTTTAACAATTGATAATTGTTAATTAAAACTAACAAATTTGTAGTCTTCTTGAGTGGTTTATCGATATGCGGAAGAACAAGTCAATGTGTAAGTGGCATAAATAATTACTGGCATGCAATATTGTTAATTTTAAAAATTAAACTGAATAGGTGTAACAAGCCAGTGTCTACTGCTCATGGCTGTCCGCTTTGAGCCCCGGTATCTTACTGGAAGATCGTTAGATACTGCTGTGGCTGCTATAAGACGGTTTCGCCTTCGCAATCGTCTCCCAGTACGAGTTATTACCCACAGAGGCACCAAAAAGCGCTCGGAATTGCAGGTACATTGTTGTGAGATCATCAAAATATTTTTTTTAATAACGTTGTTATTTAAATTATTAGGGTGTGGCGGATCATTTTTCAAGAACCATTCAGTACAATCTGGAGATGGCCGGCCTACTTTCAGGCATCAAGGGGCCAAACAAGTACGAGTCGGTGTTTAACATGGACCAGACGTCAATATACATTGATATGGGGCCGAAGCGGACGATTGAGTTCGTTGGAGCTAAAAATGTCGACGCCACCCAAGGTAACTTTATTGAATTAGATACTTTTAACCTTTTTGTTTTACAATTTCATTAATTTATTTACTCTTTTTAACTATAGGAATGTCGGAAA